TTCTTGCTGCTGAAATAAAATGAAGGAAAAATGTATGAAAAACTAAAGATGTCTTCCAATGTTGGGGTGGTGGTAGAGGGGGTAAAAAGCTGTTTTTGCTGCGCAGAAGGGCAACACATTATTCTCCGGCACCAATATTTTGGCTGTCTTAGTTTGATTTGTGGATGCAGTGGTTGACATTAGGGCTTTCACAGATTGCTTGCTCCCACAGGAAATGGAATAGTTTGTTTTCTGTTGGACTGACCTGCTTTTCTGTGCAAGTGTAAGTTTGTCTTAGAAGGGCTGTGAGCTGTGACTGTGTCTGATATGCGCTCAAGCCCTGCATTGCAGCACCCAGGCACTGACTGAGAAACTGCATAATTAATAATGGCCTAATTTAACTTGGGGAAGTTTAAAAAGTCCCTGTTGTGTGTTTGAAGCTAATTAATAAGGGCTACATTGGAGTATTAAAATATTCCACTCTTTAGCAAAGTACCCTGGTCTATGGTGAACAGTTTTCATTCCAGACGTTAATTATATTCATAACCTCAATTATGCCAGTTGCTGCACTGCACTTAGGTAGAGAAGTAGGAGGTGTAAAATACATGAATTGCCCTCATCAGAAGTTCTGCTCTAATTATAAATATACAGAAGATGCAATTTTAATGCATTGTATCTTGATTTGTTATTTTTAACTGGAATATAATTATTTCTGCTGGTAGGATACACCCACCACAGCCGCCTGTCTACATGCATTAAAAATTTCACACAACTCACACAACTATTTAATATATATCTTTGATTCTAAGCAAAGAAATAATTGATTGCTTATGCATCAGTCATATAAAAAGTCAGATGCCTGTTCACACTAATTCATGGTGAATTTCCATTGGGATAATATATGTTATCAAACCCCTGAGTTAAGTGTTTTTTTACATTCTAGGTAGGGCAGTGGCAGGGACAGTATTTCTTTGTGGAAGTTATTAACTGAAGTTTGGGGGAGATAACAATAACGAGTCACACAGCTGCACCTAATCTAAACTCAAACACCTCCCTTCGCATTTGTCACTCCTCCACCCCACCTGTGCCTTGGAGCTGCTCCTTGATTTACTCCGTCTGAATGAGCCTTCTCATCCTATTTCCAGGAGGCTGCCCATTAACCAAGCGGGTTAAGCCACACTTTTCTCACCACGTTTTCTGAGCATTCACAAACATTCAGTTCTTGAACGTTCTGGTCGCTTGTGAACTCTTAGTAAGATGTGTCAGAGTTGCTGGTTTATCATCCAGGTGGATGCTGCACATTACTGGTGGTGGAGGGGAGTCCCCATTACCTGTAAAGCACTTTGAGTGGATTGTCCAGAAAAGTGCTATATAAGTGTAAGCAATTATTATTATTATTATGGTAGGTGTGACAGCTGTGTGTTGTCTTCATTGGCCAGGCATTCCCTGTGCCAGCAGTGCCCACTACCTTTGGTCCTCAATTGCTGCTGGTCCTGGCCTGGACATACCCCCAATACCTCAAGGGAAGGAGGGCAGCGCAGCACAGTCAGGAACTGGTTCATCGCCAGACTTGAACCCCATTGGAAGGGTGGGGCACATTCACACTGCTTGGGTTAAAACTAATTCAGTGTAAGTGGCTCGATGTATCCTATCAGCATAGAAATATCCGTCTACATTTGAGATTGTGCTCTTCTGCTCATTTACTCAGTGTCTGCAAACTTCCTTAAAATGTGCTGCCATACAGAATGAATCGACATCAAGTTTTGTCCATTCACCCATCCATCAAATTATTTTCTAATGGCTTTATCCAACACAGGGTCACAGGGGAGTCAGAGCCTTTCCATGCATGAAGTACATTTATTTAAAATGTAGGGAAACAGATCTTCAGTATGAATGGTCTCTTTATAGTATCAATTCATATGATATTTCCATTCATCCATTTCAGTGAATATCCATGACATGCTGTTAATAAAAGAAAAACATGCAGTGAACCAAAGCTTAAAAGCTTGTTGCCATCAAGTGAGAGCAGTAATAATACTGCATTGCCACAAAATCCACCACGGAATGAATGTCCTTCATTTGATTTGCTGTATGTTGTACATCTATAATACAGCTACTTAGAAATCAATTAAATAAGCTCATTCTACTAAGGTCTGGCACTCTTTTATTGTGCTTTGCACTATGCAGATAAATAGCTGTGCTACTGGTTTTTCCCCTTGGCTTCTGGAGAGATGTGTGGCAGAGAAAGAGAAACATCATGGGGCATCACATAGAATCTTCATAGAACCAGAAGACTCCACAGTAAATTACTACACAGTCTTTTACATAAAGTACTCTGGGATCTGTCTGTCGAGTGCAGTGTTTCTACTTACATCCAGTTTTCTCATTGTCTTGTTATCTTGTAAGGAACAGAAATTTCTCAGAAAAGCCCGACAAAGTAAAGACATTGTACTGATACTGTATCATTCTGCTCAGTGTTTAGGAATTCTAAACTTATTTCCTTAAATGCATATATAAAAATAAAAAAATACAGATATAATGTATTATATATTATACAATTATTTTTTTATTTCTGTTCATTGCTTTGTCACAATTGATTTCATGAAATGAGCTTTGGAAGAATAAAGATCCATTCATTTTGGAAGCAGTTGTTTTCATTCTCTTTGTGTAGATGTGTTATTTCTGCTGTAGTTACAGAGATTTTGTAGTTTGTATATAAAACACTAGTATATTGATTTGTACACACCCTGGTTTAAAAATATTTGATAGGAGAATGAGATTTTGAAAAAAAAAGCTGTAAATATATTAGTATAAGCACGAATGAAATATGTTGTCATTAACATACTGTATGACGAGAGAACTTTGCAAGGCTAAAGTAGAACCAACTTTCATTCTTCCAAGGCAGCCCAGTGCTTCCCCAGAATGGACAAGCACAAACATCATGCCCAGACAATGAAAAGCAAATCAACACTCTCAACAAGACATTCATAGTGTTGTTTGACGGGTGCTGTGTGATTTCTCTATGAAGCTGAATGTCTTTTAAAGATGAAATCTCTGGATATTGATGTCTGTTTCCTATTGTGCCATATCCAGGAAAGAACTGGTTTACATGTAAGTATGCAAGTCTTCAACTTATCTGTCATTACTGCTGCACTTCTATGACAGCATAAGAAAAATACTATAGTGGCCATGACCCAGGTTAAGACCTCAGGACACTGACATGTTTGGTCTGGGGGACCTGTGTGGTTGTGATCTGTACAGGCTGGTGTGAGACTGAATGTCTTAACATCTGCCTCTGACCAGAAGCCACCCCTTATACCTTTTTTTCTACTACCCCCAGGAGGTCTATAAATAGCTAGCATCCCTGTGTAGGACTTAGTCAGATCATTCAGGTTGAAAAATGGTTAGTCACATTTTTATTAATATGGTAGTAGTTTCATAATAATTGCGCATAAATAATTAATATAAATAATTTTCATAAATAATTGCGCTGGTAGTAGTTTCAGTGCTACCTGAAATGAACTATCCAGCTATGTTGTTGAAGGTTGTTTTAATATGTGGCTCGATGAGATCTTCAGATCAATTAGCTACCAGAAGCAAATGAACCTGAATGGCCTCCTCTAATTTGAAACCTTTATTATGGACTTATATAGTAATCCTTGAATTAAATCAAACAATCTAAATCTGCACAGGAATTCTGAAACTCTTGCTTCTTTTCCACATGGCTGTGATTTTTTCTGAATTGCTTGAATTTAAGCAACCTGCATTTCCTATTTCATGAACATGAGAAACTTTCTGTTTTTTTTGTGTCATTTAACTATTAAACAAAAGTTAGAGCGAAGGATTTCTTTTACTTTTTATTGGTACCGCCTTTCTTATTTTTCTATCCTTCCTAAAATTCATAGAGGTCCTCTATCATGTCTCTGTGATGAAAGATTTCATGCAATATTCATAAGAGCTCTGTAAGACAGGATGCTTGGTTCTACACCCTGCTGACTACCCAGTCTTAAACCTGGAAACACAATGTCACTGTTGTACCTGTTTGTACTCTGTGGTCCATTGGATTTAATAGGAGGGGCGTTTGCCAAATGGATTTCAATCTAATTTCAAAGTGAGGCCCGTGAAGATGATCGCTGCAGGAAATAATCTGTGGCCATTTTTAATCTGTTTTTTCAACGAATCAATAGTCAAAAGACACTAGTCTTGTGATTTGTAACATAGTGACACAAGCCTTCGGTCTCTCTCATGGACAATTACTAAATAAAATGAATATATCACCTAAACAGAGGAGTAAGAGAAATGAATTTGATTCTCATCCAATTTTCTGATGCAATGGGTCTGAGAGCTAGGGAGTCTTCTTCCAAGGCAGTCCAGTGCTACCCCAGAATGGACAAGCACAAACATCATGCCCAGACAATGAAAAGCAAATCAATACTCACTCAATAAAATAAAAAAAAATTGCCCTGATAAACAGAAAAGGCTTTCTTGGGCTTATTGAAGAGCTGCTACCTTGCTTTCTTGTTTTTAAAAAAGAGTCTTCAGTCTTAGTGTCATTACATGATGGTGTCCGGATGCCAGCTGAGGCAGTGGGGAATTGTCCCTGCTGAATCGATGATTTGAAAAGACGGAGGGGGTCTGGAAGCTCCTGTTCCACAGTGAAAACTGCTGGAGGGAAATCTTGTTACACTACAGGACTATGATGCAAAGCTCTCTTCACCAATATACACTTTTAAAGCTTACTTCTCTGTTGCCATTGTTTTTGTCAAAAATGAATTTAAACAAATGCATCCACAGTCATACTTGTTGAGTTACTATTCATCTGTTTGTATTTAAGGCAGGGTTCTATACCACCCTCTATTGAGTACACCTGCTTGAGGCAGAAATGCGCAGTTTATTTATGGGGATAAAGTAAATTTTGCAGCTGTTTAAATTTTTCAGAATCATTTCAGAATCATTTAACACAGCATTAGCATTCAGGGCCCCCTGCCAACACCTACATACCAACAGCCTTGAGACAGTAAATCTGGAGATCACATGCTTTTACTACAGTACAGTATGTCTATTACAGCATTTCAGTATAGCTAACAATGTTCTGAACATAGTTGACATTATGATGCAATATTAGAAACTGTACATCTTTTTTCTACACTGAAAATAACTTCTGACAAATTAATAAAAGTACATTCTGAAAGTTCAGATAACTTATACAAAGCATTCACTATGTGCTGAAAAATTATTTAGCAAAAAACTCAACAGGAAATTCACAGATACCATAGATTCCAAGAAAAAATGCAGAACAATTCCAATGCAAGGCAAAGGACGTCATTCAATTGTCAGCATAATGGGGACACAATAGCCTAGCTGAAGGATGATTTGGAAAGATTAGCTCATTGAAAGCAAACAAATTGTTAAAATGATTCAACAGGTGTCCCAGAATATCTATTATGTCCTGTTGTCAAAATGATGCATTGGATGAATGCAGTATTCTCTTCCATCTTTTGAACATTATTCTTTCAAACAAATTTAATATGAATCTAAGCTACCTAAACCATATAGTAACACAAAACAATTTGTCAGCTTGGCATCATTAGTAGACTTTGAATGTATTAATTCACTTTATGCATGGGTGAAATATCCTCCAACCCTTTAATATGAAAGCTGTCAATAAAAACATCTTTAAACAATGGTAGTGCATAACCCAGATCCTGTGTTTGTATAGACTTGCAATTCAATCCAAACGCGGAAGCTAAAAGTCCGCTTAAAATACAATAAATGAAACTAATCATTTAACAGACTTTATTCAGCAGCACTTACATGTCATCTAAAAAGCTTTGGAACATTACTATTATTATTAAGTTATTTGTCATTAAGTGGACAATTAAAGACCGTTCTTCTATTGGAGACAATTCCTTCTATTGGAGACTTCCTCCATTTTCATTCACTGAATTTGTAAAACCCCAAACCTCACTGAAACACATATAAAATCACCTTTTTTCCAGAAAGAATTAGAGTATATATTTTTATAACTCAACCATAAGATATATCTAATTAAATGTATGCCTGCCTGTGTGTGAACACTATTAGCATTGCTGTTTTCAAATTAATAATAAAACCACATCGCTTTGACTTTCAAGTTGTCTGGGATGCTGTCACACATATATTAAATGATGTTTTTAATAGCCTTGAAGAAAGCATTGCAGGCTTGAATTTCTTTTTTCTTCCCCGGATCTGTGTGGGTGTAGTGATGGTTCCTGATGCTGTCAGTTGTTATTCATAATCCACCAGGATGCTGGAAAAAAAACAACAAGACTTTATTAAAAATTAGGCAGTTCACTCCTTTCTTCACAATTTTGTGTGATGAACAAGGTGGGCTTATTATTCAAAATACAGGATGTTGTTTTTTTAGTTTTGTTTCAATAGTAAATATTACTCATGTTATTTTTCAAGGGCTAAACACCAGCCGTAAAACAGTGTTATCATCTCAACAGACATTTTTCAGACCATGGATGCGAGACGATAAATAAATATCAAGGAAAAAACACAGAAAAATTGTGCGTATGGATTCCATCCATTTTCTAAAAGCTTTATCCAATACATCATCGCAGGAGAGTCGGAACTTACTGTATCCTGGCAAGTAAAAGACACAAGGCTGGATACCCCCTGGAAGGGACACCAGTACATTGCAAGACACATACAGAGACAAACTCATACAAAAATGTACACACTCACACCAGAGAACAATTAACGTCTTTGGGAGATAAAAGGAGCACCCAGAGTAAATCCATGCAAACAGAGGGAAAACTACTACTACTAATAATAATTATCAACCTGCCTTGCGCTTGTTGCTTGCCTGGATAGGCCCCGGCTCCCCCACGACCCAATATTGGATAAAGCAGTTAGAAACTGGATGCAGGGATAATAATAATAGTTGAATCTTGCCGGAGATATATAATTTTAAAAGCTATTTCTTTTGATCTCCTGTGCAGAGCATATCAAGTTGTGTGCGCAATGGTGATTTCAGATAGTAGTAGTTTTTTTTCATTACTCCTCATTGCATTCATTACACCTGAAGAAGGCTCAACAGCCTAAATATTGTTTCTTTTTTCTACTTGTCAGTGTGATAATAACCTTTACTTGTTATTGTAGTATTGCTGTTTGACAAAACCATAAATTTACAGTATTTTAGATTCCAACATTTCTGATTTGTGGTTAAAGAAATGTGCTACACTTACAGGCTAAAAGAATAAGACCAGAGAAGAATCAGTCCTGATTCAAGCAGTTAAAATCCTCTGAGACCTGTCGCTTTTTCAGAATCAACAAAGAAACATGAACCAGAGAAAACTACATGGTGGTGCATTAAGACTGAGCACTTGAGGCACTACAAAAAGAGTGAAAGAGTAGCGAGGGTCTTGTATTGTGCTACATAGCCACATTGTTGAAGTCTATACCCTGATTTCTTCCAAAAAATGACTGGATGAGATCCTCACACCATTTAGCTACTAGTATCCAAACTGAAGTTTTGGGCCAAACGTCCACCATAACTGTTCTTATGTTCATATATTCTTATTTGAAACTAGGAAACAAGGACAACAGTAGAAAATAAAATGGATGCGCAGTTAGATCTGAATTCAGTAAGCATTTCTCGTGGAAGTTTGGAACAAACTGCCCAGGTGTGCTGTTGAAGGATCCTTCTTGAACCACTGGAGTGTGTTGAAAGAGAACAAAGCTTACCACAGGAAATGTCCATGGTTTTTTAACAATTTTACTATGCTCAAATATATACTTTGTCATTATATACTACAGTTACCTTTGCTAAAAGAGTTGGTTTCATCTGCATTTTTCACCTTCCATAAATGAATGAACTATGACAAATCAATCAAGCAAACTGTGTTGAATGGCCTCATGTCACCTGCAACCTTTCAGTTACAACAGCACCTGTTGTGAGTGGTGACAGGCCCTGTTGTTTCCCAGAATCTCAGACCTACGAGTCACACTGGTCACGCACCTGGGAGCAGCATCGTGGTGACCATTTCTGGACTCTCAAGCACGTCAATGACACAGCGCTGGAATGTCTTACTCGCGTTGGACTGTAAGTAACTGGTAAGGAGAAAGGAGATAACTCATGCCTGTTAATGTCTCTGCAGCCCTTTTGCAGCCACATTACTGTAACATCCCACAGCTGATAGGTTCCACAGCAGACCAATGCCTGCATTATAATAGCTGGATGTAACTTAATGCACTTTTGTGTAAATATCATCGGTACATTGATTATACACGCAGTATTACAGAATGTAAGAGTTGCACAGAAGCTTTATCCAAAGTGTATTGAACATAGTGGCAATCTAACAAGCTTTCTTTCAAGCTATAGCAATTACTGAAACTGTATGACAAAATATGTTTCTAAGAGAATGATTCCCCAAAGTATATTATGCAACAGTTTTTTCTCATGAAAACAATTTATATGACAAGTCTCATTTCATTTGCTGGGAGTCAAGAGGAAGGTTAAATAAGCATGTTTAAGTCTACTGATTTTGATTTATTGGAAATGAAGAGGTGGATGAGTGATTTTAATGGGGATGAGGGCCATCTGTTCTGCAAGAAAGCTCCCCTGTTCCATTTTTCAGTAATCTGCAGCACAGAAGCTGTGCATATCAATTGCACAACCCTACCTGGTCCAGGCAATTCTGTCTTCCCAGAATTCATACATTGCAAAACACGGCTTTTCCTGTAGCTTCTGGACTGAGATGCTGCAGGAGAACAGAGAGCTATAGTTAAGGAGCTTGGCAAGAAAAATAATCAAGAGTCAGAAAGGGGCAGGCAGATTCCAGGGAGATTGTTACACAATCAGACCTTAGAGCAAGTACTTGAAAACGAAATATAGGCAGTTCTAAAATGAATCTCCTTTTCTTTCTGAAATGTTGCTCCTTCTACCTTTCCATTACACTATCAAAAGATCTCCTTCCCTGTACTGAAACCCCACATTGGTTTGAATTCTGTAATCTTCAACATTTCCTCCACTTTTACTTACATCAAACTAACTTTTAAATATATACAGCACATTATCAAGCAAATAAAATGTTCCATTTCAGTTTTCCATGCATTCTTTTCCAGCTGGTGGATTTGATTTGAAATTGAAAAGGAGAACTAGCATCAGATGTTTTGCCCTGGAGCAATAGGGATCTCCACCAGTCACTATATGTGGACAAAGTACCCCTTTGATGCCAGATTGCTCAGTTACTACTGCTGCAATCCAGTGTGAATTGAAATAGGACAGGCAGGCTTTTCTACTGTGCTAGCATGTGGGGACTTAATGTGCCATTTAATTTAATTTCAAATTCAAAGTTAATTTAATTTAATGTGCTGTTTCACATGCAAGCAATTTTCTTCATGCATCACATTCTGTACCTTTGTCAGTTTTAGTATTCTTGCAAAAATAATGATTAAACAGAAATGACATAATTGATTCTGTGTCATGTGATTTCAACGGGCAGCAGCAGACTGACTATAGGTTGTGATTTTTCTGTGTTGTGGTGCTTCTGTGATTCGGTCACTAGCTACTGTAGTTCTGTGCTGGATGCTGTTGAAGAGGGAGGTGACCTACTGCAGGTTGGCACTCTGGCTGGCTGTGGCCTCGGTGTACCGGGTCAGTGACTGGCGGAATTCTTCAACGTCCTTCTCCATCACTGACATCTGCCTCTGCACTAATAGGATACTCTGGAAAGGCGCAGAAAACAAGGTACTTGATTAATTTAACAATTTTAACCACCACACCAATCACAAATAACTGAATTAAAAATAATTCAGCTATCATTTATTATCATATTATCATTTATCTGAAGGGTTGCTGCTTCTGCCCAATGGAAACCCTAGCAGCGTATAGAGATAGAGGTGTTATAGGGATGTAATTCGTATTTCAGGTCCCACACTGTACTTAGATGAGCTTCTTTTAAAGATAAAGACATTTTTAAGGCTGATCTGTTGTCTTGTGGAAATCTATTGAAGCTTTAACAGGATTATCCTTGTTGTGCAGTTTTGCTTCTCATTTCAGTGCTCAATTAAATCTTTTTAACAGCTTAGGAAAGCCTTCATTGCAAACAATGTTTATCTCTTGTTCTCTTTCATCTATCCTCTGTGATTTCGATCTGCACTGATATTAGATATCTGCAGTAGAGAAATTATTTGGGCATTTCTGGTATTTCAGGATTCAAATAAGGGATGGAGTCAGATAGCATTAATGGTTCTTGAGTTCCCACTTAGACTTCATAGTAGAAGGTTACATCCATGTTTTAACTGGGTTTATTGTCATACTTTGAGTGGAATGTTGCATCCAGATTCATCTCCTGTAATTCATCAAATCCACACTCACTGCATGCATGTAAACAGTGTGTCGCCTAGAAGCTAGTAAAAAGAGACACTTGTTCATATAGTCTTATGTATGTACTGTATGTAAGAAAAAGAAAAGGAAGGGTGAGCAAAACTCATAGAAGGGAGAGACCTTCAGTACTTTGATTAAATCATGTTAAGAAAGCACATCTTTAAAAGAATAAAACAGTAATTTTTTATCTAAAACTAATAAAAGGTCATAAACACTACACAATAAGAACAACAACATGCATAATTCTTTACAACCATTTATGCACATAACATTACTGACATGTACTTATTGATGACCATTCATAATAATACATAGTTTCAAGTAAAAACTAAGAGGAGAGCTCAAGGTAGAGAAAGGTCATGTGAAAAACGCAGGAAGACACCTTTAAGGATTTGAGAGCTGACAAGGACTTTTTGCAGATCAGCTCCGTACCAGTAATCCCAGTATGTTTATCTTTTATTTTTCTATATAGGTGTTTTACACATGCTGTTTTAGGATGTTGTGTAGTGTTTATGAAAGTGGTATGATGGTGTTCTTAGCTTCATTCAAGTAAACTATTTTGTAATGTGAGGAAATCCCTGGATTTAATTTCTATGAGGAAATAATTATTTCTTAGAGAAAAAAACATTAACAGTACTTGGTTACACATCTAACTGATAGACAATGACAGCAGGATTTCGTTCTCATCCAGATTTCAGATGAAAGTAAACACACACTGTAAGGAGACCTGACAGGAATTCATTGCATATAGAGATTATCTAATTGTGCAGACTCACAGATTTATAAGGGCTGGAAAATGTATCTTCTTTGACAGGCTCGAGCTTTGGACTCTGGAAGAAAAGAGAAATGCAGTTTTACCCACAAAGCAGAAAATGGAGTTTAAATGCATGAGACTTGTCTGGAGTGATAATTACAACCCTGAAGTCAAAATGTTTGAGTCAAACACGGAGGGTTAATTAAAACCTGTTAAAAAATCTAAAAGCCTCTGTGGTGCTGCTCTGTGATAATGCCATGAATCAGCAACACTACCCAGTGACGCCTTGCCTCTCCTGTGATAAACTGAGCGCAGAAAGATTAGTGAATTTATGTACCTGTTCAGTTTTGCAAAGTGGTGTTTTTTTCTGACAGGGAGAGCAGTGTAAAGCGCTGGTGTCTGTGTATCTGTGTGGGAGCCTGTCATGTGCCAGAAACATGCCTATGGGGGTACTTGTTGATCCTAATTGTTGATCTTATTTGCGAGATGTGGCAAAATTAAAATTTAGGGATCCCTTTGATGCAACCTAGAGTACTAAATTTACCCTCTTGAAAAATAAGAATACTAATACTACTAATATTGTGATCAGTTCAATATTCAATATTGTGATCAGGGGTGCAAGTTGCATAGCACAGAACCTCTATATTGTCTTTTGACTTTTGACAATGTCACAGTGACTCCATAAGTGAGCATACACTGCCACTCAGTCCTCACACATTTGTGATCTGAGGTGTGCTGTAACAGGGATGTCCAGTATATCGTGGAGTAATTGTGCTCCCTGTAAATAAAATGTTTCGACCCTATAGCACAATCTGGGGGTCAAACTCATCTTTTGACCTTCCCCCAGATGTAAGGGTCATGCAATATTTGGTCACACTGGCTCATGAGGGGCTGGATGCATAAAGGGACAGACAAATAAACTCTCTTTACATTAGGTAAAGTCAAGGTAATTGTTGGAACACAGTTGGCCGAAACTAAGATACAAACTGAGTTCGCTAGTAAAGTTGGGAAGTGCTTAAGAGAAAGGGAAGCAGTGTTAGGGAACACATTGAAAACTTAAGAGAATAACCCAGTTGACTGGGCAGAAAGCAGGCATGAGGTAGGACTTAAATCATGAAGAGAATAAGAGAGATAATGAGGTACCTAATTAATTGGAAGAAAGTGGCACTGATAATTGTGTAGAGACAGATCTGGTTCAGTAGCAGTTTCAGCCCATGTACAGACGTGGATAGATGCAGTAGTGGCGTGAGGGTGTGAGGTGAAATCTGCACAGGTATTACAGTTTCTAAATCAATTAAATCATTTACTTGACTTTTAAGCAGCATTTCAACTATACGCAAGTTAGACCTGCTGCTTTTCTGTGTGGATGTTCTCCCTATGTTTCCATGAGTGGAAAACACTCATAATTATATATTATAATTATAACATTCTGGTTTTACTACCACAAATGAAACATGCTGGTAGGTTGATTAGCTATACTAAACTGATGCATTCCATGAGAAATGGGTATTCATCCCATTAATCTGTCCTATCAGGTCTGGGATAAGATTCAGCTAAGGACCTGTGACTCTTAAGAATCAGGAAAGAAGGAAAGAAAGGCAGAATGGAATCTGTTTTGAGCTTGAAGGAAGAATTACTTTTTCTAGCTAATAACTCCTGTAATGAGCAATATTAAAAAAGGCTCATTTAATCTGTGACTAATAAAGGAGTCCCACCCTGTTGGGTGGACACAGAAAATACAAAGTACAAGAGCTGAAAATTCCCATAATTTAAAAAAATTAAGCTGTCACACACACACACAATTTAAAGATTCAGTAGAAAATTGAACATGTGATCCTGTTAACTTTGTGAAGGGCTCCAGCAAGACAGTGTGACTCATGGTGGTATCAGATATCTAGCACTTCTCTCTCGCGCTGCACTCCAGTCAGATGGTTTGTCCTCCCACCTTACACTCCAACTTGTCGATGAGCTGTTGGAGCCTGTTTATCTGTGAGGTCCAGTGGCTGTCTGGCTCCACACTTATTCCTGATAGAGGAAGAATGAGTGAGAAACCATCAGCAACAGTGGCCCATTTTTTTTTCCAAAGAAAAACATGGAATTTTATATTTCCCATTATTGAACATGCTTAACTCAGTAGAATTTCAATGCAATAATACTTGTGTTGACAGCAGGTATGATTTCCATATTAGACATATAAAGACAAGAATTTACGAGTACAAATTACAAATTGAAATGCAGCCAATACTGAATTAAGTACAATGAATATTTAATAACTTCACAGTTGCATGTCTGTGATTTTTAGTGGGAAAATGAGAAAACAGCTGAGAGGAATCAGCAGTGTTTACTGGTTGAAAAAACTGTACACATATTTAATGATACAATTAAAATATTATTTGAGCATACATCTTTATATATCACTTATGAGGAAAAAGTTTTCTCAGTTTTGGAAGTCTCCAAAGGCCACAAAAGTCTCTTGGGTTCCCCAGGCTGCCTTAAGCACAGCTTCTGCCTGTGTCTGTAACTAAGAGATGATGCACTATGGGACAGATCATTTGGGAATACTGTTCCCGTTCAGCACACCAAGCTGTCATCCTTCCATCTGGATCTCCAAAAGCAAGATGGCTCAGACCTGACCTGAATCTTTTAATCCCTTGGTAGGAATCCAGCCAAACTTCAAAAATGTTTTCTAGTGCTTGGGAAGAGCAGTTAAAGAGACTATAACTTGTTTCTGATTTTCTTAAATGTGCAATTGTGCAAAGTCAACAAGGAGCATTTGGAAGCTTAAAATCCTTAAAACTGAAAAAAGGCTGATTTAGGTGCAAATTATATCAAAACTGACCCATCCACCAACTCTGAGATCCAAACCACTACCTGGTGTGACACTTCATGTGTGCAGAAGCAATCAAGTGCTAAGCTTTGAATTTGTAATCGGATGGTGAGCTGAAGTTTGATTTAATCTTGACCTTGGTGTGTCATGCTGGTATTTAAACCAAAAAAAGAGGGAATGTGAATATTAATATTGATTAATAACCTACTTGAAATTCTTTAAATAAAATCTAGTGATCTCCTAAAAATATTGCAGTAATATTATTTCTTAAGCCATTTGCAACAAAAGATAAAGACATTATTTCACTTTACATTGTGTTTAAACATGCTTTATTTTCCCAATAGTAACAGACAGAGACAATCACTTCTCAGTTAAACATTCACATCCAGTAGTTTATTACCAGCAATAGCTGGCAACCTTTCTGTGCAGTACTCTGCCCTGGAATTATCTCTCTATCTAAAGAACATAGCACAAAGAAAAGTCCTAGTGCTGGAGGGTCATTCTACAGGTTTTCAGTCCAGCTGTGCCCTTAATAACATGAATCATCTTATTTCTGGCTTAATTAGACCAGTTTAATAACCTCTTCCAGCTCTGCAGGTACTATGCTTTAAAGAGACCTACAGTACAAAACCTACATACACAGGGGACCTTCAACTTTTTTTGCTATCTTAAAGAAAGCTCTCAAAATGATTGCCTATGTTATATATGGTCAAAGCAAGAGACTACTTTAAGCTAAAAAATGAGAAGAGGTTCCAGGGCAAAAGTAGAAAATAGGAAAAGGTCCAGAAACAGGACATAGTTTTGGTTCCCTAGAGGAGACTTCTCACTCATGAAGAAGAGGCTGGATGAATTTCAGGATTTATTATTTATCAGCAAACTGTGATCAGACGAACACCGAATTTGTATCCTTTAGTATGTTCTGATGTTGTATTAATGTAGGCAATGGCAGAAATGGCCTTAATAAGGAATATTTCAGAGCAATTTTGGCTGGTAGGCATAGATTATTGCTTACTATGTTACCTGAGGTGAGCATGCCTGAGTAAGGGTCTGTAGGAGACAAGCATAGGTTCTTCAGTGACCGCCGTCCACATCTCCTGCTTGTCCTCTGGACTGAAAAGTCCTTCAGCTTTTTCACATTCTTCCTGACAGGAGACATGGAATCACTTGGTTATTTTAAGTCTTTCATTAAAATATTCAGCATTATATCATGTAACTGAAAACATACACAATGGCTTAACCAAGAAAGGTGTTCTTATGACCATGTTGTGGGCTGTTGCAGAGAATTTCCAAGCAGTGGCCAAGCTTGACCAGACACTGCACAGGAAGGGTGGATTAAGGTAGACTGTGGCATGCATTAGAGTGCCATCAGTCAGAACTGAGCCTGTGATTCTGTGGGTACTGTGGGGCTGGCAGTGCGAAAAAGGACAGCTAACTGGACGGAGCATTCTTCAGAATAATGTGTGCAATATATCTTCTTCTGTGAGGACAGAAGAGTCATAGCAATGAATTGCAGTGATGGTCAGTAAGTGATTCCCAGTTTGGTGAGGTGATAAAAGAAACAGAGATGATTTAAACAACCAAAGATCACACGAGTAGCCCCATGAGCGAGAGATAGATTGAGAAATGTGTTATCCTTGTTTGGCACAGCTCCTAGTTTGAATTGCATGCCTTGTTGAGGTCAGGGCGCCTTGTAGAGCTGGGAGAGGTGGTTCTCAGTGTGCCTGCTGGCAGAGTTTGACTGTTCGCCCCTCAGACTCTTATTCTTTGTCCTCCTACGTAAAAGCACCACTTCATCAACATCATAACAAATCTCAGGTTACCTTTAAATTAATTTGTGAGCTAAATAAGATCCTATTATTTGGGAAAAACATACTAGGAATATAAGAAAGCCATTCAACCCAGAGAGGCTCAACCCTTGCTAGCAATCAGTCCTTTATGCAGTGCTGCCAATAAATGGTTTTCTCTCATTCTCCGGCTGCAGTTGTACTGTACAGCTTGCAAGTGGCACTCAAATCCACATTCTTACTTATATCTTATCTGTATTGTTTACCTGTTTAATGAAGATAAATAAGTATAATAATTTTATTATTTGCAGATGGCATGTGTCATTTTATTAATACACTGTGCAATAAAATAATTAGAAAATCTCCCAAATGGTAGGTTAGTCCACCTCCAATGTTGATTACATCTGCAACTGATCACTGTTGCATTGCAAGTTCACTGCACTGTTGCACTGCAAGTTCCACTGCGAGGTCACAGATGTGAGGGTTTGGTAGTCTCTTTGAGTTGCTCTTTGTTATGTTGTCATTATTTGTTGCCACCTTGTCAAACCTTGAAGCTCTTACAATTGACAACAGTCAGGTGTTCTGTTACTCTTACCTTCCTTGGCAGCTTTGTTCCTCCACTGCCTCTATAGCACACTCTAGTGAGACTTGCAAGGATTGCAGCTGGCTGGACATCTCACGCAGCAGAAACCGAGTAACAAACTGCCCCAGTTCAGAGGAGCTCTGGTACTCCTGAAAGAGAGTGGTATTTGCACAAAGAAGCTTTAGTGAACAGCCATGGTATGAACACCAGCAATTAGACCTTCAGTGGTTAGAGTTGGTTTTCTCTTGTAGAATTCTGCTTTTTTGTGTAATTCCTATGCAAATCTGCAGGGTGATATGGCAGCCAGCAGCCATATCACCCTGCAACTCACAACTGGCAACCCACTGAAGCTAAGCAGGTGTGAGCCTGGTCAGTACAAGGTTGCTGCTGGAAGAGGTGTTAGTGGGGCCAGCAGGGGGCGCTCACCCTGCGGTCCATGTGGGTCCTAAAGCCCCAGTATAGTGACAGGGACACTATACTGTAAACAGGCGCTGTCCTTCAGATGAGACATAAAACCAAGGTCCTGACTCTCTGTGGTCATTAAAAATCCCAGGGTGTTTCTCGAAAAGAGTACGGCTATAACCCTGGTGTCCTGGCCAAATTTCCCATTGGCCCTTACCAATTATGGCCTCCTAATAATCCCCCTGTATGAATTGGCTTCATTACTCTGCTCTCCTCCCCACTGATAACTGATGTGTGGTGAGTGTTTTGGCGCACTATGGCTGCCGTCGCATCATCCAGGTGGGGCTGCACATTGGTGGTGGTGGAGGGGAGTCCCCATTACCTGTAAAGCGCTTTAAGTGCAGTGTCCAGAAAAGCGCCATATAAATGTAAGCAATTCATTAATTAAATCTTTGTGTTTGTGCCAGAAATTATATATTTATATATTTAATTATATATTTATATATACTTATGGAAAAAGAATGCTATAGTTATAGCCTATGTACTTTCACAAAAAGTTGTCAATTTGTTTTAAGCCCTCTGACCAGCAATACAGCTTGTTCAGTGAAGCATTGCAACTTGCTAATCACACAAAAGCTTGTTAGGTGCACTTTTACCTAACGAGGTCCAGGTGGAACAAAGCCTGATCAGGTCACCTTTAAAAAGGCCTTAATTCAAAGCTAAGGTCACTGCAAGAAAAAGGCCACACTTAATCAGTTTTCTGTGCATTCCATAATGCCTCCAATGTCACCAGAAGCAAGGGAGAGGGCCATTGGCTTGCTGCAGGCAGGCATGTCATGTGCCAGCGCTGCCAGACACTATGGAGTAAGCCGCTCCACTACTTAACTACCTACTTAACTAGCTATCTGTAGTGGCTTTTTCTTAAGTGACTTAACTAGCCTTTTCTGTCTTCTTTAGGGCTAACATAATAATATATCTATAAAATAAGTATTTGTGGCATTCAATTTTGCAGAAATGTCTAAAATTATTCAAAGACTCTCTTGACTGGTTTGTGTAGTCAGGGCGCGTTGCTATGGTTGTGGAGGGCTCCAGAGATGGCAGTCTAACTTTTCTGGGAGAATTCTTAGTTCATTGTGTTAAACAGCTTCTGTTTTGTGTTGTTTGTTACCTGACTCATCTCTTAATTCATTACAGATAGAAATGCAAGCCAAACAGTGTCTCTTTGCTTTCTTGAGACCATTTTAAGATTGTTGGCTCAGGTCAAGAGTGGCAGGGTGTTGAATTAAACTACATTCATTTTTCAAAATTCTGTAATAAAACCACACAGTATTTCACTTTTTAACAGAACACAGGGGAAGCTATCTGTGTGCATTCTTTGATGTTCTGAAGGCTTGGGAGCACCATGGAGTCTCTAGTGCTGTTTGCCAATAGATTCAAGAGAGCAGGAGCTCTAAAACCCAGGTCTTGATGTTATCTTGTCCAATTAGCTTCATATGTCACAGCCTATGTCACACTAAATGTACTGAGCAAGTTACTTCCTTAAATTTAAGGATTTTTGATGGCTGAGGGTTGTTCAGATTTTTGTTCAAAATGTTCTCTAAATCAACTGTTTAACTGATCACAGTTAAATCATTCAATGCCTTTAGGAAGTTGTGATTTAATGGTGACCATAAACACCCATGGAGCTCGGCCCCTCGTGTCTTTCTGTCTGGCGAAACCCTGCATTGACATGCGGTGTGAACAGGAATACATCTCCTCACAGGTATGCCACACAGACCCCAAACTGAGATTGGGTTTTTCCTTTACTAATTTGCGCACAATTTCTGTGCAAAGCATTTTTCCCTAAGAATGGTCTCCTGTACCTCTCCATGGGAGCTCCACGGGAGCACAGTAAATGTAGAAGCAAGAAAAAGCAGAGGGATATGGTAAAGCACAATATAAATACTTGGAAAGCACTGAAAAAAACAACAAGTTAATGGCCAAAATTGCAGGTAAAGCTGCTAGAGTACCCCACATATTTTAAGTGACCAGGTTCAATAAAAGAACATTTATTTTCCCCACTCTTTCTCCTCAGAGCTTCGTCCATGCTAATTTGTAGCTTGAGATACTGCTGACTCTGGGCCTTAGCCTTCCAACTTGTTCTGTTAACACAACTGATTTGGAAATATGGACCCCATAACACTAAGTTTGGGTATCCAGGGATTTCCCAGCTTTGTATCAACATACAAAATGTAGCTCAGTACAGTCAAGGCTTTCTCTGTTTTCACATACTGTAGGGTGCAAATTACTTGTAATTCCCCTTACAAAAACCTCTCAAAAAAGCCTCTTTCTACAGTATATGCACACTCATTTTACTATGCATGTCACTTAATTATTTAGATGGACATGTATTCCATTTCAGACCAACATTTTTCACTTTGTATTAGGTTTCAGTGTTTCTTTTATTCCCAAACCTCTTGGCTAAAAATCACTCCAGTCTGATTAATCAGACCACTATAGTCTTCCCTGTCATTTTCACTCACATTAGGGGTGGTACTGCATTCTTATTTGGAATAGGGCTGTGAAAGAGTACATTTAGAAAGAACTTAGAAATATCTGAATTCTGTCACGATTATAGTCCCTCCCTGTGGATTTTTTACCCCCATTTCCGATAGGGAGTAAAAAAAAAAACGCGCTATGTGTAGTGGAGCTAGTTCGGATATGGTGACATCAGCGCCCTCACTGCGCGTAGCAGGGACCTCAGCTGTCTGGGCTGAGGGAGGTCTCCTTTAGCTCATGCGGTTGGTTCCCTGTTGCGTTATGCCAGAGACCCGGGATTGCTTCGCGCCCCAGGTGTTGCAGGACGAAACGGGGTGGCGGAGGGCACTGCGACGGTCACATACTGTATGGAGTATCTCAGAATTCCAAGTTAGTATCTCAGAATTGTGACTTTATATCTCAGAATTGCGTCTTGAAAACTCAGAATTACAACTTAAAACCTTAGAATTGTGACCACATTTCATTGTCTGTCCATTTGTTATTGTAACGGATTCGGGTTCTAGGGCTTGTGTCCTCGCCGCTCCCACCTTAGTTCGTGCCTCACTGCATTGGCTCGAACCCAGGTCTTGCCAGCTGAGCTAAAGAAGACCTTTTTTAAGTAAAAAAGGACATAAAATGGAAATATGTAAAAAGTATAATTTTCAGCTTTTATAACATTGAATTTCTCTGCATGTGAAGTGTCTATTTCTGTATCTTTTTTCATATTCTGTCTCTGGTTTTGTATTTCTGGTTTTTAAATAAAAACTTGTGAGATAAAATGTCTCAATTGCGAGATATATAAAATATAAAGTCAGAATTTGGAGTTTTTAAGTCAGAATTTGGAGTTTTTAAGTCGCAATTCTGAGATATAAAGTCAGAATTCTGAGATACTAAGTCGCAATTGCGAGATACCATAGCGTGTTTTTTTAACTCCCTGGCGGAAACGGTATGGCTTCCATACCTCCCTCTTAAGGGCTCTCTGGCTAATTCACTTCCGTGTTGATTTTATGCACCTGCCCCCTGTTCCTGCCTCCCTACTTAAGCCAGACACTCACTCTGCTCCGGGCTCTGCATTGGTTCCTGTACCAAGCAAGTCCGGAATCTGGAGCATCTGGCCCCCCCCTTTTCCCTCCAACCCTCCGACCCTCCACCAGATCCCACTCCGGTTTTTAATCCCGTTTGTCTTCGTCTCGGATGGACCGCCCGGACCTGTCTGAACTTTTATCGCCCTACTCCCCACCTCGCAACCTCCGCTCTTCAAATTCTGCCCTCCTTACTGTCCCCCTGTAACGAACAGTTCTTTCCGGACCCTATGCGGACGACACAGTCCGACGGAGTCGTGGAAACACTAGGGAAACGTCATGCAGAAAAACGGGGCTGAAGACAGGGGGGCGTGTCCAAGGTGCGCTGGTGCACGGGGGAGGTGTGGCCGAGGCGAACAATCCGAGAGAGAAGTCCTTAGGGGATATCCAAAACACAAGGGTAAGTCCAAAACCAGAAGATCCATCAGAACAAAGAATTAAAAACCATGAATGCCGGGTCGGAACCGGCAGACGGGGAACAGGAACGGGAACAGAGGTTAAAACCTTAACGGGACCAGGCATTTCCAGGTCCCGGACTCGCACGATATGGAAATCAGATGCAGAGCCCGGATGAGCGTCAGCGCCTGGCTTTTAAGGTGGGCTGGGAATAGGGAGCAGGTGCATAGAATAAAGTCTCACGTGAACGGGCTGGAGCACCCTTAAGGAGGGGGAACTATAATCGTGACACCCCCAAGCCTGTCCACATTGTATGGGCGACAGGGCCTTCTCCTGCTATGCCCCCAAGCTCTGGAACTCTTTGCCCAAGGATATTAGAGAGTCACCTTCTCTAAACTCCTTCAAATCTAGACTCAAAACCTTCTTCTTCAGAAAAGCCTTTACTTAACTGGTTCCATTCTTCACCCTTCTGCTCTTCTTAATTCCACCTTCCACGGCCTCCTCTATTGTTATTGTTGTATTGTTGTAATTATAATTGTGTCCTATCTTGTGAAATCTTCTTAATTATTGTTGTAGTCTTCTTATTTATTGTTATTGTCATCCTGTAAAGCGCTTTGAGAAGCCACCTTTAAAGGCAATATATAAAATAAAGTTTATTATTATTATTATTATTATTATTATTATTATTATTATTTGGACTTTTGCCTTATCTTGGATTTCCCATTGGACTCTGTTTGGATTGTTTGCCCCGG